CTCAACCCTGAACCCTAAACCCTAGCCGGCAGGTTGGATTCCAGAGCTCGACGTGACACAAGGCATCTCAGGTTCCAAGCGCTCTGACTACGCAGCCTGAAAGTACACCTGAAGTCCCACCACCCATGTACCGTCTACCCAAGTCTGGTTCCCTGCTGGGGCTCCATTTAAAAGTCGATCATCTTTAGTCCTCGTTGGGTGTTTATGATAACAAAAAATGCAAAAACCCCTAAACCCTAAGACCCTAAATTGTAGCCGACAAGGATCCAGAAGTCTGCATTCTAGACGACTGAACCTTGCAGGGTCTTCCAAAAACACCATGGACCCCAACCCAAAAGCCCTGAAACCCCAGCACCCGAACTCTACCCAACCACTATTCTCAGAAGCGGAAAGCTGTTTGAAACCCAATAGCCGCAATCCTCAAAGAGTGATCTGTAGAGGGAAATCCCAGCACGAATTGTCCTCAATCCGGTGTCTAACCTTTTTTGGGTGGGTTTGCTCTGGTTTTAGGGTTTAGGGTTTAGAGAGACCCCCAAACCCTAAACCCTAAACCCTAAAACCCTAAACCCCAAAAACCCTAAACCCTAAACCTTAGACCCTCAGACTTCAAGCTCCGTGAGATGGGGGACTCGTGGAACCTCCGTTTTGCTTCATGGGTAGTTGTCTAAACTAGGGTCCCTTTTTGGGGGTCCTTGTTTTATGAGGGTGCCGTGCTATTTTGGGGGACCCCAAAACAGGAAGCCTAGTTTAGAGAACTACCCTCATGTCTTGGCACGATCTGCTCCCTGCCCAAACCCAGGAAGGCTCTGAAAGTTTTCGGTTTCAGGCTCAGGCGTTCGGGTAAGGCTTAGGAGCGCAACCCTAAACCCTGATCCCTGAAACGCCAAAGCCCTAAACCCCTACACCCTAAAATCGCTAAACCCCTAAAACCCCTAAGCCCCTGAACGCCTGGCCTAAACCCTACAAACCCTAGAGGCTTGCACGGGATTATCGGAAGTGGGTGGACAGCCTGGATCTGGCCGTAACCAGCCCGGCCGCTCAAGACATTCATGATGGAGGACCTGAGATGTCTCAGCATGACCCCAAAGTTTAGGGTTTAGGGTTGGTTTAAGGTTTAGGGTTTAGGTTTCAGGGTGTAGGGTCTAGGCGACCCCAAACCCACCGTGGAGGATGAGGGGCCTTGGCAAGTGAGGTCATGAATACTTCTTTTTGACGCTTAGTCAACAATCCTGACTACTTACCCCGTTTGAAGCCCTAAGGCCTAGTTACCAAGTCCCATGACCCTGTAATCCTAAACCCTAAACCCTACACCCTAAACCCTAAACCAACGTTATGCCCGAAGCACGGCTTAAGAGGTCGGGCCCGTGGTCTGGGAAACACAAAGCCAGCTCTGGTCCCCTGAAACTCTCTTCCACCCGACTGGATCGCCACAAACTACGGTTGATGGTATTATACCATAGTTCCCATAGTTTAGGGTTTAGGGGTTTAGGGGTTTAGGGTTTCGGGTTTAGCGTTACCCAGAATAAGGAATATACCATAATTCCCATAGGTTAGGGTCCTCAAGGTCATGCAGGATTTAAATCATCAACAGTACTAGTGACTACTGCTTGATAGCAGTCCATACTTTTCCCTTAAACCCTAAACCCTATAACGTAGGAACCTGATTCAGAAACCCCGGCCCTATAACCCCGAAAATTTTGGGATAATATAAAGACCCAGCTTGTCTTAAACCAGGTTTCCAGACCCTTAACCCTGAGCCTTCCCCCAACCCGAATCAGACCCTAAACCCTAAACCCTAAACCCCAAACCCCAAACCCTAAACCCTAAACCTTAAACCCTAAACCCTAAACCCCAAACCCTAAACCCTAAACCTTAAACCGTAAACCCTAAACCGGCCTTTTTTCCCCTTGTGGCCGCTTGCTGGGTCCAAGCACCACCGCAGGGAGTTTCAGAGGGCGCTCGCTTAGCGCTTGCTCTGGAGTTGCAGGACGACCTGCTTCGGGGTTTAGGGTTCAGGGTTTAGGGTTCAGGGTTCAGGGTTTAGGGTTGTTTTTTATAAGGGTTGAGGGTTTAGGGTGTTTTAATTAAGGGTTCAGGGTTTTGGGAATAGGGTTTTTGTTTTTATAGTTATAGGGGTTGAGGGTTTAGGGTTTCGGGGTTTTTTAGTAAGGGTTAAGGGTTTAGCGTTCAGGGTTGGCTCCCTAAAAGGCTTTTGAGGTTTCAGCCCGACGCCGAGGCCCGGAAGGCCCCCAAAGCCTCAAAGCCCGGCATCCGAAACAAGGCCGGGAACCCTGAAGCCACAAATACCGATTACATGAGACCCCCAAGAGGCCCGAGAGTCTAGGATTTAGCGTTTAGGGTTTAGGGTCTAGGGTTTCGGGCTTGGGATTTAGGGTTTGGGGTTTAGGGTTTAGGGCCCTATCTCCCAACCCTAAACCCTCTACCAGTCAATGTCGTCCGGAGCTTTGGCGGGCTTTTTGCATAAGGCTGAAAAAGCCCCATGCTTCCAAGGACCTGATAGTTAGGGCCCTAGACCCCTTAAGGACCCAATAATAAGGTCCCTGGAAGCATAGGGAAGGCTTTAAATTGAGTTTTTCGGTACCCTAAAACCTGAATCCAAAACCCTAAACCCTAAACCCCTAAACCCCTAAACCCTAAACCCTGAAACCCCAAACCTTAAAACCCTAAACCCTAAACCCCTAAACCCGAAACCCTAAGACCCTAAACCCTAAGCCCCTAAACCCCAAACCCAAAACTCGAAACCCCTAAACCCTAAGCCCCTAAACCCCAAACCCCAAACCCTAAACCCCAAACCCTGAAGTACCTCCTCGCCGCCGTTGGTGGTAAACTCCACACTCAGAAGGCCGGCATTCCTTGCTGCCTCGAAGAGCTGGACCTCACCGGTTAAGGTCGAAGGTCCTTAGGATTTAGGGTTTAGGGTTTAGGATTTAGGGTTTAGGGTCTGGGGTTTAGGGTTTAGGGTTTAGGGTCTGGGGTTTAGGGTTTAGGGTTTAGGGTTTAGGGTATTCAGATTTAGGGGCTTAGGGGCTTAGAGATTTGATCAGGGGTTGTAGAACATGGAACAGAAAAACCTAAGTGGCTCGTCTTTAGCGCCTTGGGATTCAGCGCTTACGGGCTGCGCTTCGGACTCATAGGCAAGCTGTGGTTCAGGACTTTCCTTAAGGGCCAAACGGCTTGGAACAAGTTTTGTACAGGGCTTAGCAGTTTGGCAAGGCCCGTAATACTGTTGATGGTATAAAACCTGCATTACCTTAAGGACCCTAAACTATGGGAATTATGGTATATTCCTAATTATGGGTACTGCAGGATTTATACCATCAACCGAAATTCTGCAAAATCACAATATCCCCTTGGTAGTCCCTCTTCCTTTATCGTTTTCTATGTTTTTTCATGTAACATCAAATTGTGATCCTTTAGACTCCCCTAAACCCTAAACCCTAAACCCTACGGTCAGCCTCCATGGCCTGAAGGGCCTTACTGGCGGCCTGAGTAGTCCGACTGCGGTTTTGGTGGTATGAATAGATGCGGGAACCCTGCGGAGTACTACCGATTCATCCGCGGCTCCCTAACCCTAAACCCTAAACTCTACACCCTAAACCCTCAACCCTAAACCCTCAAAACCCTAACCCCTCAACCCCAAACCCTAAACCGTAAACCCTCAACCCTAAACCCTACACCCTAAGGCTTGCAGAGGTGGCCAGAGTTTCGTCTGCGCCAAAACGCCGTGGGTTTGGGGTTTAGAGTTTAGGGTTTAGGGTTTAGGGCTTAAGGCTTAGAGTCTAGGGGCGACCCGGCTGAACCGTCCCGCATGGTCAGATATACGAGCAAGACATGCATGTGTTTAGACTCTGCAAGACTACTGCAGAGTCGCGGTACACTCTTGCAGGCGTCTCCAACGCAACACACATGCCTGAAGTCAACTAACCGGCTCAAGCCTATCCTGCTGTGATTGAGCTATCAAGGTATAGCTTTGCATTCACGTCCTGCCGAAGAATTCCAGAGAGGGCTAGGTCTCGACGAAAGCATGCAGGAGCCACTGTTTTGGGTTTAGGGTTTAGGGTTTGATCGTCCAAGGATCCACCTTGTTTGGCTTGGACGGCTTCTCCGCGATAAGGCGCTGTAGCACACTGCGCCAGAGGTGCCGATTCGAATCAATGGCCTCGCTGAGTCTTTGCCTCAGTATCTTCTCACGTAACCTCGGGAGAAAGCCTTCGTTCAGCGTTTAGGATGTAGGGCCGAAGGTCTAGACCGGCATGCAGGGTTAGGGCGTACAGCTTGAAGTCGGCTGCAACACTCTACAGTAGTGGTGAATCCCCGACACAAGGTTCAGGTTCAGGGTTCTCCTTCAACTTTGATGAAGCCCTAAACCCCATACCCTAAACCCTAAACCCTAAAACCCTAAACCCTAAAACCCTAAGCCCTAAACAACTTTGAAACACACATTCGCGCGAGTCTTCATCAAGCTGCAAGGCCCCATTCCAAGGCAGATTGTACTTCTCCCGCTGATCGGACGAGCTTGTTCCCTCTGAGAAAAGCTCGAAGCTGTCACATCCATAGATTGGTACGGTTCCTGCATTATGCATCATACTATAATAGAGAAAGGACGTCATATAGGGCAATATATTGAAGCATACAGTACACCTCACGCCATAGTGGAGAAAAACATCATATAAACTTATGAAAGACAACATAACACATACATCAGAACATAGTCAAAATGACACGGTGCCTGCATAGACTGCGCGATCCGTGCCATCCACCGCCGAGACCACACCATGCGTCCCGACCATTACCTGGGCAAGCGTCTCCAGAGTTCCGGGTTTAGGGTTTGGGTTTAGGGTTTAGGGTTTAGGGTTTGGGGTATAGGGTTTAGGGTATAGGGTTTAGGGTTTAGGGTTTAGGGGGAAACCACGCTGCGTACTACAGACCGCGAACCCAAACCCTAAACCGGCCTTCGGAAACCACGCGAGCTGCAGTTGATGATATGAATCCTGCATTACCCATAATAAGGAATATACCATAATTCCCATAGTTTAGGGTCCTTGAGGTAATGCAGGATTTATATCATCAACAGTATCGCCATCACCCTCCCTTGGGAAGCTGTGCAGGAACGTTCCTAAATCCTAAGCCCTGACCGAACCTACCAAAATCTGCTCCTTTGTTTGTTTGTTTTTTTTTTTTTTTGGGAAGGGGGGGGGGGGGG